GTTGATTTAGCAGAGAATCTTGTGTATGAGGAGCGTCCAGTACAGATTTTAGATCGGAAGGTTAAAGAGCTTTGGAACAAGAGTATTCCGCTAGTAAAGGTCCTTTGGAGAAATCACAAGATAGAAGAGGCCACATGGGAGGTGGAACAAGACATGTAGAATCGGTACCCGGAGTTATTCGTGTGAATTTTCGGGACGAAATTCTTTTAAGGGGGGAGAATTGTAACGCCCCACTTGAGGTACATAGTTAAGATTTGTTGTATTACTTAAATGTTCATCGATTCAGTTTCAATTGAGTTTGTATGTTGTTATGGTTGGTTGAGTGTTTGCCTTGAGTTTGGTTGAGACCTGAGGAATCTTGGAATTACAATCTTCGTCGGGGCAACGTTGGCTTTGTAATTGCGGTGTTGACTCTGTAAGTTTTCGCCGAGGCGATGGAAATTGCTTCGCCGCGGCGAAGGGACGGCAAAAAAGTTTAATTGAGTTTCTAGAGAATTCTCCATAGGGGTAAAATGACTATTCTACCCCTAATTAGCAGGAAAAGTGGGGAGTAAAATGTAAGGAAATTTAGTAGAGAATGTGTTGGAGATGAGGGTGTATTTGCAAAGAATTAAGGGTAAAATGGGAATGTTTGAATGTAAATTGAGCTAACAAGGGATTAAGTGTAGTAAATCCTTCATTTCACCCATTTCCACCGCCATTCTCATTCCCTAAGTTCTCTCAATTCTTCATTCAATTTTCCAAGAGTTTCTAAGGTTTTTGGGGTGGTTTTTAGTAGAGATTTCATCTAAAGCATTCTAAGGTAAGAATTCTTGCTTTAGATAAGAATTTGTTTATGGTTTATTGAAGTCTTATTTTGCTATTGTTGTTTAAAGTTGTAGAGAAAAGCTAGGCCACAAAAAGGGAAGGAGAAGTGTTAGAGAAGCCACTTATTCACAAGGTAAGTAAATCCAACCCAAGTTGAGATGTAAGAACTCCTTTGAGTAGAGATTTATGTATGAATGTGTATGTATCATGTTTGTTGAGATGAGATTATAGTTATTGATGAGTATTGAATATATTGGAATATGAGAATTGTTGAGATTTTTATGATGTTGAGTTGAGTTTTGATTAAAGTTGAAGGAAATTTTGAGCAAACCCTATAGGAGTGTTTTTCTTTGACAGGAGTTTAGAGTGTATAAGAGAGTTTTCCTCCCATTTTTGGATGATTAAAGAGAAGAGAAAAGTTATTGTTAAAATAGAGTTTTATATGCACATGAGTTGTATGATGAAATGCTCAAGAAAAGCATGAATAAGTGTAGCAAGCCTTAAATTTTGCTACATGGCATAATTGCATTACATGAGTGTATTAATAAGCATGAGTCATTCATATGCATTAATTGCATTAGAGAAAGAGAAAGAGAGTAGAGAAGAGTAAAGAACTTCGAGTGTGAGCTTCATTAAGAAAAAAGAGAGAAAAAGAGAATAGAGTAGGTTGTGCAATGGGGAACCCGTGAGTAATGGGTAGAGTATTCCCGTATGTACGCCGCAAAGAGAGAGAGCGGCTTGAGTATGAGAGAGAAAAGTGGTGTAGCCCGTGAGAGTACATGCGGATGAGGGCTATACCCGAGAGTACCCGAGAGAGAGTTTATACACTCACATGGCCAAGGGTTCCGAATCCATGCATAACCGAGTCCGATCGGCTAAGAATGAGTAGAAGTCACGGAGAGCGGGAGCGAGTCCCGGTCGCGCCTCCGGTAAGATGAGGACGTGACTTACAAAAGAGAGTTAGTAGAAAAGAGTTATGAGAAAGAGAAATAAAAGAGAGAGTAAATTAGAATTGTAAGGAAAGAATTAGACAGAGTTACGGGGATACATGAGTAGAGGATTTACTTACTGAGCATTGTTTTTGTGCTCACCCCGTTGTTTCCTATGTTTTTTGCAGGATCTAGGCAAGAACACGGTCGGATGGATGTCGGCACGCGAGGAGAAATGGTTATACTGTCTACCATGTTTTTGATAACTATTCTACATAATCTAAATTTTGTATAAAGAATGTATATGTTTAATAAAAGAAAAATTTGGGCCCAACTCTTTTTATTATCTTATATGTATTTTCGTTATGTATATTTTGTGAGTACTTGAATAGAAAGCAGTTATTACAATCCTTGACAGTTAATAACAGTCAATGATTTGCTAAAACAGTCAAGGATTGTCTCAAATCCTTGACAGTTGAGAAATGGTCAAGAAGTTATCAAGGAAAAGACTTCTTGACTGTTTTAAAAAACAGTCAAGAAATTCTGTTAAATTTTCTATCAAGAAAGGCCTTTTTCCTTGTATTGTCATCATGAATGGTGCAAACAAATCAGACAAAGACTGCAAAATCAAGTCAATTAAATCAGCAAACCTCAAGCAAAGAAAATAATACAATAGCACAATATTTTCCTACTTCAATAAATTTGTGAAAAGCAATTTTTTGAGTAAATGTGTTGAGCAAAATCTTCTTTTAATTTTTGGCTTCCAAAAATTATAATATAAATTTTTATGACTTTGATCAGACAAAGTCAACTAAAACTTAAATCAAGTCAATATTGCATTAACTTTTAATATGAATTAATAAAAATAAAAGGGAATAACGTCCTTTAAAATATAGTTATGGTTTTAATAATTTCTTTAATAATTTTGAGCATTTGAACGGTAACGTTTGAAATGTAGGAAAGTGGTATGTAAAGGGTGAAGAATAACATTCTTGAAAATATAATTATATCTTTAATTTGGGAAAGCAGGAACATTCTTAGACACAAAATATAAAATAAACTTACAAGATCAATATATTTTTCCCTCAAAGTAGAATAAAAAACCTAATAAGCACGATTCAACCTAAAATAAACTAAATTCAAATAAGCAGTACACATACTTAAAATTGATAAAATATAAAACATAGCTAATTGTGGTACCTTGAGTAGTGAAAGCTTCAAACAATTTCAATCTTTAAAAGTTTTATGAGCAAATGACATGAAAAAGAGAATGAGAGAGCAAAAAATTTTGCAGATAAAATCATAAAAAATATGTGGAGCCTTGGAGAAGAAGATTGGGGAGAATTTTAAACTTTTAATATAACGTAAGCTTGAAATATATATATATATATTAATAACAAGTTTTTCTGTGACTGGATATATATATATAATAATTCTCATTAAAAAAAAAAAAACTTTTAATATAACGTAAGCTTGAAATATATATATATATATATATTAATAACAAGTTTTTCTGTGACTGGATATATATATATATAATAATTCTCATTAAAAAAAAAAAAAATCTGAGAGTAGGCTTGGATATAGATATTAATAGCAATTTGTTGTGGACTTATACATTAGTAATTTTCGTTTAAAATCTTGGGGTAGACCCAGGCTTACCCTCAAAGGGTTGAATCCGCCCCTGCACATGTGCCATTACGTGGGCTGCTCGTGGCAGCAACTATTTTATTACTTTAGGACGTGTTTTAAGATGTGTCCTTGCGTATGGCTCAAATAGCAAGTCAATTGACTCACTATATTCTCAAAAATCCACAATTTACAAGCACAAAGTCTGACCACACGCACCAACATGCAGTCAAACTGGGTGCTCGTAAATTGAGCAAAACCCTTTTGCTGCATGAGCAGAAAAACCGGTGCAGCCAATTCCTATCAACCTTCTCACATGCAACAACACGTGGAAGGCGTCCCCAAACCTGTTCGCACGCTACAACACGCAAGGGAGCAAGTGGGTCTGCTGTGCACAACAACGCACAGCAGCAAGGGCACACGACTGGAATTGTCGCGTGCAAGTCAAGGCTGCACGCTTTAGGGCGCGACCATGGCTGTGCACAGCAGTGCACGGTGTGATCGTGGTTGTGCGCTGCAGTGGTTGCACGCAGCAGCCATCACCCATGGAAAGTGCAGTGGCTGTACATATTTGTTTCATGAACCAGGGTGGATTTTTTTATGTTGTATATTATAATATTGAATTTATGACTATGCGAAGGAAATTTAATGTATTAGCTATATGGCCTCAACAGATAAAAACATGTACGTAAAATCATTCATGATTTATATTGGAAATCCATTTTCCATTATGTAATCTACTGTTATTTAAAGATAAATTTTGAATGAATTCTTCGAAGTGAATTACATTGTGCCCACTCTATTCTTCTCTTGTCTTGTTCTGGTTCTTTCACAATTAAGACGTCTCCAATCCCAAGTGATAATGAGGTTGAAGACATGTCCAACTCCAAAGTGTATGGCAACATGTGAAAAACTGTTGGAATTTGGGATTAACAAATCAAACATGCACAGCCCAAAATCGTGATGAACTTATAGAGAGAAAACTAAACTTCTTCTTTTTATTAATCTGAATGACTCAAAATACATTGAAGACTTCTCATCTCTTTTATAGGAAGAGATCACAACTCTAATCCTAATTGAAAACTACTTCCTTGTTCTACTCAAACTAAGAAAGGGAAAAATACATAAACTCAAATTCTTAGTCCTAACTAAACTCAACATAAAAGGAAAACAATTAAACTTAAACTTAAACTCCTAAACTAAACTAAAACTCTAAAACTTGAAACTAAGTCCAACTCATCACGTTTTGCACCCTCTCTTGTGCACGCCTCTCTTCTTCTTTTTTGCGCTTGCTACAGTGACCTTTTCTATTGTTGAGGCGATTGCTCTTTTTGCTCCACGTTATGTGCTTTTTCTAGCGCTTGCTGCAGCGACCATTTTTGTTGTTGTGGCGACCAGGTGGTCTGCTTCATTCTTCTTTGTCTTCAACCATTCTTTTTCCAACGCTTCAAACATGGCCATCATTTCCTTCATCAAAATAAGTTCATCTTTCAACACTCCTCCTTGAACTTTTTTGGTGCTCATTCCGTGCAAGCTCTTTGACATTTCTGCTTCTTGATTAGCATGATGTTCCTCCTTAATTGGTTCTATCATGGCGCTATTACATCTTTGATTAATCTCCTCAAGAGACCTCATTCATCTTGCTTCCACATCATCCATGCCTATATTTTCTTGAGGGTTTTTTTCTATGACCTCTACGGTTGGTAAGATCGATATTTTCTCCTCCTTACTTCTAAGGGCATCAACATCCATAGCACTCCAATCCATTACAAAGCTTCTATTTCTTATGGGCACATTCATAAACTCTACATCATTAGAGTCTTTTACTTTGCACACATTGTTTGCAAATTCAAACACAAATCCTTTTTGCATCATTTGATCAGTACTCATCAAATTATGACTTAAATTAGGCGCTAAAAGAACATCAAAAATTAATTTCATAGCTTTTAATGTTGAGACAACATTGGTACATTTTCCTTTGATTAGCACTTTGTCTCCATTACCCAATCTCACAACTCCTTTCATGTCCTCCAATTGAGTGAACATCTCTTTCTTTCCAGTCATGTTTTGAGTGCATCCACTATCAATAAACCATGAATCATTTTGCTCCTTAGTTGCCACTATCATGGCAGTGAACAACAATTCTTCTTCTCCCTTATCTTTTTCTTTCACAACGTTTACTTGTTGTTGTGTTTCACTAGTTAGCTCTTGTTATTGATTCTTCCTCTTTTGATCACAACCAGCACGTGTTTGGCTTATTCTTGTACCAACAATCATCATCTGAATGATTGTTCTTTTTGCAATGGTTGCAAAAAGCTTGACTTCTTCTATTTCCATATCCCTTACCTTTTCCCAAAATTTGAGCCTTCGTTCGTAAAGCAATCTCTAGCCCATTCTCATCTCTCATCTTCCTTCTTTGTTCTTGTGCTTCAAGAGCACTTATCAAATCAGCTATTGACATTGATTTAATATCCCTTGAATCTTTGAGAGGCGAAATCTTGGATTTGAACTTTTCTAGCACCCTTACCATAACTTTTTCTACCAACCTCTCTTCTGGAAGGATTTCGCCCAAGATTCTGATTTCATTCACAACCTTCATTAGCCTATCAAAGTATTGCAACACACTCTCCATCTCAATCATTCTCATATTGGTAAGTTGTCGCTTCTATGTGACGATCTTCATCTTCCTTGTCTTCAAAGAACCTTGATACTCTATCTGCAACTTATCCCAAATCTCCTTGGCGGTAGTGCAGGCAATGACCTTCATAAAAATTCCATCAGACACAACTGATTTCAAGTATGACAGAGCCTTTGCTCTCTTCCTATCTGCTGCCTTTTGTAACTCCAATTGAGTGATTATTGGATCCTCTAATTCTCCTTGAAAGTCTCCTCCTGTCTTGCTGACTTCCCACAAATTAGCAACCTATAGACACCCTTGCATCTTCACCTTCCAAATCTGGTAGAGATCTCTTGTAAATACAAGAATTGGCGACATTGAAATTAACGGTGCCATCTCCCTTCAGATTTTCTTTTCCCTCTCTCTCTAACTTAAGAACCTCACCACAGATCCCTTAAGATGACTCTGCTCTAATGCCAATTGTTGAAAATTAGAAACTGCTTTGATACTATTTTAAAAATCAAAATCTACTCTAATACTATGTTAAAAATCAAATGAGTGTTGAGCCGGTCGTCAAGGTCGGAAAATTAATCCTAAATATCGTAGTTAGCGGTAAGCAGGGTCGAATCCATAGGGAAACCTAGTGTAAATTTGAGTAACGATAATGAAATTGGCAAATTGATTAATTAAACTAAACAAACTAAATGCAAATAATAAAAGCTTGAAATTAAAATTAATGAAGACTTTATAATAAAAACGTTGCCGCTATGGTTTTGGTTCGACACGAGACCAACTCACACAATTCTCCTCCACACTTTACGATCCCTTAAACCTACAAGGCAAGGTTGTAATGCCCCACTTGAGGTACGTAGTTCAATTGTGTTGTATTGCTTGAATGTTTATTGATTTGTTCTCATTTGAGCTTGCATGTTGTTATTTTCCATTGGTTGGCCCTTAGTTAGATTGATGAGTTGATTTGGTTAAGTGTTTGCCCTGATTTTGGTTGAGACTTGCTGAATTTTTGAAATTCAGTCTTCGCCGGGGCGAAGAATAGTCTTCGCCACGGCGACATTGGCTTGAGAGTTGTGAGTCGTTTCTGTAAGTTTTCGCCGGGGTGACAGAAAGTTCTTCGCCGCGGCGACGGGTCAGTTGAAAAATTTAATAAGTTTCTAGAGAATTCTTCCTTTGGGGCTCAATGACCATTCTACCCCTAATTAGCAGGAAAAGTGGGGAGTGAAATGCAAGGAAATTGCATATAGAATAGTTTAAATTGGGGTGCATTTGCAAAGAATTAAAAGGGCAAAGGTGGAATTCCTAAGAAAGAGTAAGGGTAAAATGGGAAAGAGTGGAGAAAATATGAGATATTAAGGGTTTAACTTTAGAAACCCTTCATTCTTCTTCTTCCACCACCATACTCTCTCTCAACTTTCCATCCAATCCTTTAAGGATTCTAAAGGGCTTTTGAGTGGTTTATGGGTAGAGAGGTGATCTAAGGCATCCTAAGGTAAGGACCTTTACTCTGGATGTGAAATTTAGTTATAAAGGTGTTAAGGTCTTATTGTGTTATTATTTTAAAAGTGTAGAGAAAAGACATCTACCAAAGGAAAAGAGAAGTGCTAGTGGAATCATACCATCACAAGGTAGGTAAATCCAACTCAAGCTAAAGTTTAAGAAATCCTTGATTAGAGATTTCTTTATGCATGTATAAATGATGCTTGTTGAGAAATTGAGTAGAGATATATGTTTGTGTGTTGAGAAATTGAGTTGAGATGAGTATTTATGTTGTGGTATTGGATATGCTCTCTTTGTGGGAAGTGTTAATGTGTGATGAGTTGAGATGATGTTGGAGGAGATTGAGTATTATTTGGAAGTGTTCTTCTATGATAGGAGTTATATCCATAGAAGGGAATTTCTTCCCATTTTGGATGGTTACAAAGAGAAAGAGAATTGTAGTTAGAGAAGAGTTTTTGTATGCACATGAGTTGTTTGATGAAATGCCCAAGAGAAGTATGAGAATGAGTTATTTGCATATTGGCATTTCCTAAGTGCATTAATGATCATGAACCATTCTTATGCATTAATTGTGCATTGAGAAGTAGCTTGAGAAAGAGTAGAGAATTTCTACACTATGAGTCTTAGCTTGAGAAAAAGATGAGTATTAGTTTGAGAAAGAGTTGAGACTTTTGTGCTTAAACTACTATAAGAGTTAAAGAAGAGAATAGAGTAGGTTGTGCGATGGGGAACCCGTGAGTGATGAGTAAAGTCACGAGTGTGGGTGCTTTGTAATCCCTAGCCGTGCCTCCGGTCAGATGAGGCCGTGATTGTCACGAAAAGTAGAACATGAGGCTCCAGCCATGCCTCCGATAAGAAGGGGCTGTGACATTCGAGAGATAGAGAGAAAGAATGTACACTCACATGGCCAAAGGTTCCGAATCCATGCATAACTGAATCCGATCGGTACAGAAATGAGTAGAAGTCATGTAGAGCGGGAGAGTTCCCGGCCGTGCCTCCAGTAAGATGAGGCCGTGACATTCCCATGAGTAGAATGGGAAAACAGAGAAATAGAAAGAACAGAAAGAGAATGAGTAGAGTCACAAAGAGTGGGTTGAGTCCCTAGCCGTGCCTCCGGTAAGATGAGGTCGTGACATACACCAGAGAGTATATAGAAAAGAGTATGAGAAACAAAAACAGAAAGAGAACAGAAATGAGAAGAGAAGAGAGTAAGGAAAGAATTAAGAGAAAGAGTTACGGGGATAGACAAGTAGAGGATTTACTTACTAAGCATTATTTTGCTCACCCCGTTGTTTTTCTATGTTTTTGTAGGTTCTAGATGAGGACGCAGTTGAATGGATGTCGGTGGGCAAGGAGGAGTAGTTACACTGTCCACCACACTTTTGTGAACTTTTGTAAAGGATACTGACTTTTGTAAAAGAATATGTATATTAAATAAAAGAAAATTTGGGCCCAACTATTTTTATTAATGTACTCCTATTTTATTTTAAGTATTTTTTTTATGAGCATAGTAGTATCAAGCAGCTATTACAAAGGTAAATCAATAAAATCGCTTTCTGGCACTCTAGGTATAATCTATCATGTCTCACCCAATTGTTCAAGTTCGATCGGTTAAAGACTATCTTTGACTACCGAAAAACTCCACAAGTCAACACCACTAGTTGGTACGTCATTAACAAATACAATTCATCAACACGTATCATCCAATCAACCAACTACACAATCAATGTAACATAAGTAGATATGGCATTAAATGCAAATATAACTCAATTACAATCGATGCGAAGTAATTTAGAGCAATAATCAACATTTAATTATCTCAAACCAACATTTAGCATGCATTAAGTTTTATATCAACAACTAACCTCAATGGACAACATCAATAATCACAAATTGCACATCAAACTACAATTAAAGTATCGTAATCAATCAAGAAACAAAAACAAACATAGTTTGATACACAATACTTAACCAAATGTCCAACAATCGAGCTCATTCAACTTGTCGAGAGTTGTTGAGGAGAGTCATGGGAGTTAATCTCGATCTCACCTACACCGTAACAGACAACCGAAAGCTCAGCCACTCATGGTGGTGTCCATGGAGGCTGGAGCGGTGGAAACGAAGCTGGTCATGGCAAAGAGCAAGTGACTGGCTACTGGAAGATGCTATGAAGAGGTGAAAAAGACCAACGGAACTCCTGGAAGATGAACAGATGCAACTCGCTAGAGTCCAGCGGTGGCTCATGGTGGCGACTGGTGAAAAGGAGACCCAAGGGTACGGGAAGATAGATCAGGTGATGGAGATGATGGATCTTTTAGTTGGAAGGTGCGAGGTCACTGGAAAATACACAAAAAAATGGCGAGGAAGCTGAATAGTCACAGCAACAATTTGGCAAGATGGCGGCTAAACGACGGTAATGGAGCTTAGAGGAAGATGGATCTGAGCATGAGGAAGGTAGATCAGTCACCAGGGAAGTGAGAGGCTACTGGAAAATAGGAGAAAAGCCGTTAGAAGCTGAAAGGTCATCGGTAAAGGTAGGTAAAGTGTCATGCGGCAGTGGGGATGATGGATGGTGGAGATCGGTGCAAGGGGGAGATGTGGAGTCAAAAAAAATGGAAGGGGAAAGGTTTTCGACAGTGGAACTGTGGTTTGGGGTGAGTGGTGCTGCTGGAAAGCGACCCTTCACTTCCTTCTTATACAAAAAGTGGAAATTTTCCATTTGGTCCCTGTATGATTGAAAAGTGATAAAATCAACCCCATAAAAATATGACAGTTTACCCCCTAAACAGAATATATGAAACAAAATCACCCCTAATCCATAAATCACAACCTAATATCAACTCATACCATTCCCAAAATCATTCCAAACATGTTAAATTCATAAGAAAACATTAGGATGTGATTTTTCATGAATAAATTCATGAATTTCTTAATTGCCTCAATATGATTTCTTTTTAATCGCACATAGGGTCTTTTTATCACCAAAATAGAGTCACTTTCATGACTCTAACACACTCCCCAACTTACGCTTTGCTCATCCTCAAGTAAAATAAAAGAAAATTTCCAACATTTTCACAAGACCATACACAACCATATTAATCAACAACCAAGACATTCATCAAAAGGAAAAGTGAAGAATTTGAACATACCAAGTAAGCAACACAATCCTAAATAAGGAACTAAAGTTTCTGTCAAGATTTGCCTATCTCCATTCAAGCTTCTCAAACACACATTTCATGTTCTTATTGTTAGAGTAGATGCCCTAGAGCCAATCAATTATTGTAGAATTGACTCTTTGTAATAATGTTCATTAATCAATAAAAGGAATTTTATTCTATATTGCGTGAATCATTATTATTGTAATATGTATTGATATATGTCCTTAGAATGGTGGAACCATGATGAGGGTATCAAGTGTTTCAAATCTTGATAGTGAGAACCCTATGAGTACATATGGTGTCCATTCTAGAAATGTTCGTAGCCTCAGTATTATTCTGAAGTAAGGGCACAGATAATAC